TAACATATTTTGACCTTATTTATCTGTTATTAGGCGACATTTGTTTAAAGCAGTTATCCTACTAATCGGATTGTTGATAGCAATAAGCGATGTATTTTTCATGTTTCTGTTGTTTCAAAATATTCTAAGGTTGAGAGGATTCGACATCAAATAGCTTTTAAAATGTAACTTTTAATATGTACACGTTATATACAGATCATTAATTAAAGCATAGCGGTTCAGTTATCAAACAAATCTATATGCTTTCAAAATCGAAAATCGAAATTTTTTAAATAGGAACCGAAGTGTTCCTAATCAACTAGTGTGTGAAGCATCTATATCTCTATCTAGCTGACGGTGGAGCGTATATGGATATTCAAAAGGCACGTTGCGTTTAACACGCGACGCTAGCGCCATCTATCAAGTAATCAAAATAATTTCCACACACTCCCCAATTGAACTCTGTGAAGAGTTCACATTAATCTAACAACAATCAAATTTACATCAATAAGTATTTTAATTTAACAAACATTCTCTATTCGGTAAAAAGCAAATTCAACCAACGCATTAAATTAAATTCTGAAATTCCAACTTAAGCCATTTTAAATTATTCAGTAAAAAAACATTACGAGGAACCAGAGCAGGTAATAAACTGAAAAATATGTTTTTTTGACAATAGATACAGTAAAGTTAAATGATAATATTAATAATTACTTTCTTACTGAAAATTTCACCAAAAAATATCATTACTTGGTTGCATACTTGCAAGCACAAATTCTTAATGATACTTATAAAATTTATTAAACAGCATTTTACTGGACACAATATAATCAAAGACCTTGTTATAGACTTTTAAAATTATACATTCTCTACCAATAACATGTACAATAAATATTACTGCAAAATCAACTTTTCTACACCCTAACTATGACAATATTCAGTTCAGCAAAATTTTCAGAAAATGTCAACAACTATTTCCAGCTACTATAGTACAAATCTCACCAGCTTTCAAGTATCAAAAACCTCTTAGCAAATTGCTAATTAACCACCATAATTTAGCTTCTACACCCAATTGATACTGCAAAGAGCTTCAATACAAAGACTACGTAGACGAATTTCATAAACATATTGTTACAGGCAATTTAACAATAGTTGAAAACTAACTTTTAAGAAATTTAATGGAAAAAAGGCACCAAATTTAGACCAGCACTGAAAATTGGCAAAAATCACAGTTTTAAAAGTTTCGTAAAAAATCTAGATGAGTTCATAGTTAAAACTAGTTACAAATTAAATATTCCAAATTCTACCTTTATGGCTTGGAAACATGAAGTGTTAGAAGAATTGAAGCAAAGAATTCAAAGGATTGAATTTAACAGCAATTTGCCTTGGAATGTTCTAAATCCTCTATTGCAAGATTTAAAACAAAATTCGTAGTAACCAAAATTGATAAAGCCAATAATAATTTCAGCATTATTTGAAAATTTTTTTATGTCTCACTAATTAATACTGAACTAAACAATGCCATTACTTACAAACCTACTGATGCACAAGATGTTGGTGGTGTATTTAATTATGGCAAAGCACACTAGGGCTATCTAAGGGGAGGGATGCCTTCGTGGAGGACTTTCAAAGGGAAACTGGCTCGTATACACGTTACACATGGGGAAAAAACCACGAAAAGGCCCATGCAGCCAACCCGTTCGCGGGATTCGAACTTCGGACCGAACTACCAGTGTTCAGCGACTTTACCGATCGGCCGCTGATGGGCTCCCGATGCACAAGAAAATGTCACTGCAAAAAAGCTAAAAAACAATTCATAAGAAACTACAAATTGCACAACCATCTAACTACAATCGATTAGCAAATCTATATGCTCTTCCTAAATTCCATAAATCACCACTCAAATTTAGATTTATAGCAAATGGTACAAATAATTATAAAAAGAATATAGATTACATATTTGCAATTAAACTTAAAAAAATTTGTATTTTAATTCATCAACTAATTAACAAGCAACACAGTGTTGGATTATTTATAATAATGCTCCAGTTCTCAACAAATTAAAAAGTTTAGAAATCAACAACATTAACTGCTATGATTTTGAAAACCTTTACTTCTCTACCATTAGAAGAAATTTTTACTAGTTTAATGCAACTACTACAACTTTTTCCTGACATGCTTAACATCCTTTGAATTGAAATATGGAAAACTTACCTGAATTGTGCATTATTTAATAACTACATTAAATTCAATAATAAGATCTTTCAGCGAGTGAGAGGAATTCCAGTGGGAACAAACACTTCTACACAATATGTAACCTATTTCTTTTTGCTTATGAATATAAATTCCAACTAAGTTTGAATAAGAATGAATTAAAGTTATTTGCAAATACATTTAGATACATAAATGATATTATAACTTTCAATAATAATTCTGCTTTTGAGCAATACAAAATTTATTCAAATAGTTTAACACTTAATAAAACTAATATGAATCAAGATATTATTGAATACCTAGACCTGCTCATAATTAAACACAGAAAAATAAAATTATATGATAAAAGGAGGAATTTCCAGTTTAATACTATTAAACTAATTAAGTGAAATTCTAATATCTCTAGAAAAGTAATAGGACACACTTTTTATAGCCAAATAATCAGAATAAAAAAATATATGTACTGAAATAGAAGATTTAAAGGAAGAAATAATAAAGCTAATTAATGTGCTAATTAATACTAATAAAGCTAATTTTTTGCATGTGTGAGTTTATAATGATATCTTTCCTGCCAAACCTGTTTTAAGTATTTCAATAACTTCATCGTAATTTGGTTCCGAAATACAAAAACCTTCTATCGTGTTTGCAGCGTTCCAGCATAAGTACGATTTTAAATAATTAAATTTTTGGATCTTTTGTTAAAGATTCATTATCGTGAATTGCTAATTTGAAAGAGTTCCAAAAACTTGTCCATCTCCATAGAATGTAGCGATGGTTAATTTTGGCAGACGCGTACATTTACTGCTTTCGATTTTAGAATTAGTTTCGTTAAGAGAGTTTTCATTAACCGAATTTGTTACTTTATTTAATTCTTTCAATTTTTTATTAGCTCTGAATTATCATAACTGAATTTTCTCTTCGTATTCATACAAGATAGAATTCTATCTATCTTGTATCGAATACGAAATTTTAAACAGAAATTAATTTCTGTTTAAAATTCTTCTGCTTCTGATTCCAAGTCACGCTCTATCTGAACATCTAACTCACTCAGAGCTTTCAATTTCATTATTAATTGATCTAAATTTTCGTCTAATGTACTTGTATCATTTTCTTCTTTATTTAATTCCGTTTCGATTTTCCTCAGAATCTTGGACACGGTGGTCCTGATTAACTGTTCGTTTCGATTTTACTTTAACAACCGACTCTTCGGCCATTGTTACTTCACAAAAAAGAAAATTTAGCCTTACCTTTGCTGTCTTCGCACACTTGCAATGTGCTAATCCAATTTTGGCCACCCTATGCACCAGCTGTTTCAAAATATTCTAAGGTTGAGAGGACTCGACATCAAATAGCTTTTAAAATTAACTTTTAATATGCACACGTTATATACAGATCATTAATTAAAACATAGTGGTTCAGTTATCAAACAAATCTATATGCTTGTCGTTCTCCTTCAGAGATTTTGAGTCAAAATTCTGTATTCCTGCAGAAATTTTACCACAGCTCCTTCAGTTGTTGAAAAATTTGACAAGCGCAAATTTTAAAGCATAAAATATCGCGATTTTTTATTAAAAAAACGTTAAAATCAGGAAAACTATAAAAAAGCATACGACAATGGCAAAGTTGCTTGACTAAAGGATTGGTAAGAGTATGGTTGCTTGAAGAAAGGTTATGTCGAGTTTAACACAGCCGGAAAATTTGCCGACTCCTACTGAGGTAGTTGCGATAACACGTAAGTACCTAAATATTTTGAATCTATTCTTAAAGAGAACTCCAAGAAATTTACGTCAGAACAAACCAATTCCCCACTTGTAAGTAGGTTTATTTATTTTCAAGTTAAATACCTAGTTAAATCGTCAAATATGGGTACTAATCATTTTCATTTTTATTTATTTATTTGCTGTTACAAATCATTTTTCTTTTCTTCTGTACAAAATCGCCGAACTACACCAAAATGTTTGCACTAATATGGAAATACGATTACTTTTAACACAATAGTTACATTTTGAATAAATATTAATCGGTACTTGACTTCTGCAGCGGCATTCACGAAAATGTTAATTTGGCGAGTTTCTGCATTGGCGAAAGTAGCAGTTAGGGTTCTGCGCATGTACGAGAAACAAAGGGTTAAAGAAATAACTTTTTTTAAAAAACTACATAGTGTTAATATAACGATATTTCATCATAAAATAATCATTATGCTTACTATTTTTTACCTTCCACAAACGGGAAAAGAAGTCCTAGTTGATGTTTGAGACATTACTAGCAGCAATAGTTAAGTTGTCACCAGAAAGAAACTGTAAAAAATAAATTTTCCGCTATGTTTATATAAGTTGTTTTTTAAAACAAACTAAAAACAAAATTATATTAAATAAATTAATAAATAGAATTTTTCCGGCATGTTTATATATGTTGTTATCTTAAATAAACTACTTAAAAGATTGAATTAAAAATTAATTGATAGAAACTGAATTAATGTATATATTAAAGAAGATCTGTTGAACTTTGTTGTTGTTTGCAATAAAAATATATTGCGGGTAAAGTTGTATCAAATACAAATTTATATTAAACTCCTTCTCTATGTTTATATTAAATAACTTTTGTTGTACAGATATTGAATGATTTGCTGATTTACCGTTTCTCGTCCTTAAATTCATTTCCATGGATGTTTTTAACATCTGGCAACAAACTGCACTTCTGAAACCCGGCCAATAACATTTACTCTCGCCAACACCGCTCGCTACAGAAGACAGGTATCCACTAATATCTTTTAATTTCCATAAAAGTAAAGGTTTTTTACTTTCCAGGTATGCAAAAAGCAGTTACAGTTGCAGAAGCTTACATACGGTCTTATGATGAAACTATTAAGTCCTTTAAAATGGATCAGATTAATTATGTGAAGCAGCTCGCTCGAAAAAAAGCAACATGTGAGCAACTCAAAAATCTCATCGAATTTCATCAAGGAGAAAAAGACAAACTGGCCGATACCATACCTGCGTTCATCGACATAGGACCCTTTCGTTTGATGACACATACCATTCGAACGGTGGCGATCAAAAAACATCAACAACTCGCTGATGCCATTCTTGAGTATTTTTACGAGAAACTCCGCCAAACGATGGAAAAAATTAATGATCAGTTCTTAGTCTTGTTAGACAGAATAGAGCAACCGACAGGGAACATAGAAGATCTGCTAGAGAAGAAACAGTGGTGTCGAACGGTGCCGAAGAAGATTGATAAGCTAAGCACTGATGTGAATCGCCTTCGTTCTGATTTTCGTTTGATATCATCGTTTAACCGCAATATGGACGATGAAGATTTCTCCACTTACTGGCATATTCAGGTATTCAATATATGCTCTATTTATAAAGCATAAACAAAATATAAAATAAGATACTTAGTAGTAGTAGTAATAGTAGTAGTAACGGAGGATGTGGGCACCATCCCTCTACCATTACGGTTAATCGGTTCTGCCCACGTCCGCCCCTCGTCTAGTATTTATTAATAATTCTAAAATTTTTACATTGCCATATATTGTGGCTGATTTACAAATAAAGTTTATACAATAAATGTATTCACATTTTTAATATAACTTAGTACATAAATTTTGATTGGAGAATTTTCTCTAATGAATTTCTTTTATAATTTCCCTTTATTTAAATTTGTCTATATATTATTTCGTTATCGTGAAGTTTCTCTTTTGTTATTTGTACCATTTCAACTAGAATGTTGCCTAAGTCTTCTTGAAAAGTTCCTTTCATTTTGATGCAGTTCTTTCGTGAGTTTCTCGGTTTCAAGGTTTCTATTGTATTTCTCATATTATACCTTATATATTATGCTAATGTCTTCAAGAATAGTACGTTTTATTTCAAAAGTTTTTCATCTCTTCCTTTTGTATGTCACTGAATCCTATCTGTCTTTGATCACACCGAATATACATGGGTATGCTTTCTTGTAACTTGATTTTCAATTTTATAATATTTTTGTGACAATTTAACTATCAATGCGTCATCCCTTCATAATCACGAAAAGTCAGTATTTATTTATTGTAATTTGAATACATGTACATATTAAATGCATGTACATTTTAAATATAATATATATGATAGATAATTTTTGCTAGAAATTAATCACTTTTTCAAATTATGAGGACTGATGTTACATCTTTTTTATAACTTGTTAGATAAAATTATATTACTTGACATAAATCTGTGCCCAATTTTTTTACGATGTCCATTGTTTCTGTGATTTTTCGCACTGTGTATTTTTGCTTTACTAAGAATTCACTAAAAGCTTGAATATTTGTTGTTGGCATTTTAATATGAAAATCTTTAATGAGTGGGCAGTTAGTAATGTAATGTTCAGGCGTTCCCAGCTGGCCACAAATACAGGTACTCATGTTTGAAATACCAAACCTTTCGAAATATTCGGGGAAAGGTCCGTGGCCTGAAACAAAGCGCACTAATTGTGGGTTTGCAATTAGCCGTTGTGGGTTTACCTTAGCAAAGTGTCGATGTGTCCTTTTACCCGTTTCAGTGTTATTCCATTCGTTTTGCCATTTTGATATGGCAATTGATATAAGATGCCGTTTTAGATAAGAGGTTGGCCATGGGATATCTATAAATTCTGCATCTTGGCCTATAGCGGCCTCTTTAGCTAGTTGGTCCACTATTTCATTGCCGTATATTCCGGCATGACCTTTTATCCATTATACAGTTATTTTGAATGAAACATTAAGTTGTAAATCTTTCTGAATTGCTGCAATAATATATGAGGTAGTTTACGGATTTTTAATTGTGGAAGAGTGTGGAAAGGATGTTAGATTTTATAGTTATATTATGTCTGCAATGTTCTTTAACGTTTAAATTTTTGGTTTATTACTTTGTGGTAAGTAGACTTGCTTTGCGGAATTATTAATTTGTTACTGTTGATTATTAGTTGTTTGTTCCTATTCAGTTCTTTTTATTTTATTAATTTGATAGATGTATGACGGACAGTTTGGAGAGGCAACCGTATGATGGATGTCGAAGCTTGTTTGATTTGTTTTATTATTTAATTTGCAGTTTATACCTGTTTTGAGCTTCTGCAGTACATTCTTTTGCGTAATGATTTTTTTCCACAGAAATAGCAGTAGCACTTACACTCTCTTGAATGTCCATATTCTTGGCACCTGAATATGGTTACCATAAAACACGTTTTATACCATAAAACTCTCTACTTTTACATATTTTCCATCCTAGAAGCACATGGGAATGTTCCACACATATCTTGAATGCTTTTGGAGTACAGTTTATTATCCATCTCACGAGATCTTTAATTTTATCAGAGAGTTTAAATAATGGTGCTAAATTCTGAATGTCACATCCTGTAGTATTTGATAATTGTTTTAGTAGTGTATCTGTGGAGATATTACATAGAATACTGTCTATAATTAATTTTGGTAATCTCTTCTTTGCGATTCTGAAATCTACTAATTTTATTGCTTCTTCATTTTTTGTAATTGCATTTGATATCTTTGTTATGTCTTCATGCGATTTGAATGAAACAGCTATACCTCCTTTTCTTATAAGAGCAATAGATTTAACTGCAGCATTTATTTGGTGAAGTGGGAAAATTTCTTCTAATTTTTCTGTGAAGTTGTTACAATCCTCATTCTTTGGCGATATTATTATTGTTGGAGAGTCTTCTTTTTTATAAGAAGTAGGTTGTTGATGACTTATTTTATTTGTAGGGTCATTTATCATATTTAAGCAGTTGTTGTCTTTTGCAGTATTACAGATATTTCGTCAGGGACTTGACATTTTTCATTGCAGCAACAGTTGTGATGAACAGTATTGCTATGTTTTTGAGGTATTATATGTTCATTATTTGGAATGTTTCTGTCATATAAGTTATTAGATATGTTTGGAGCATTTTGATTTAATAAACTTTGCTCTATAGCAATATTTTTTAGCAATTGTAGCTGTTCTGCTATTGTTTCAAATGCATTTTTTGTAAAAGGTTTCTTACTGTTTCTTTTTGACATAAACAAATCCATTAGGATGCATAAATATCGTATTTATTTGAGTTACTGAATCTTTATCCTTTATTATGGAAGATTTTATCTCATCCGGGGTCTTAACAAAGTTGTTAGAGAATAAAGAATCTTGTGGTAAATATTTTAAAATTTTTTATAACGTCTTGATCTGAAATAATTGTGCTAATTGAACAGGAGCTTGTGTCTATAATAGTATGCACAAGTCGACGTAGTGCGATCTGATTTATAATATTTATAAAATAGATATATACTTGAGAAAACGTATTTTTATTTATTTATTTTTAAATTTGTTAAAGTCTATACTAATTATCTTATTTATATAGTGTTACCGCTCAAAACAGGTATAAATTATTGAGAGAATTATTTAAAGAGCTATAATTGGGAGATGATAAGAAAATGTCAATTAATTTATACTGTTATTTCTTTATAAAAAAATTTAAAGTTTGCGACTTATTATTTAAAGAAATAAGCCTTAAATAAAATTGTATTACTTTATATAGCGTTTAGTTGTAAGTTGCTAACTAGAATCAAAATTAACACGCGTAAGATTTTTCTTATAAAATAATAAGATATCGATAATAATATATAGATTATTAAATAAGCAATTACTTTATTGCTTATTTAATAATTTCTGCTTATACTAAAACATGTGCATTTTTATAATTTTAATAAGAGTTTAGGCAACTTAGTGTTGAAATTATTTCTTTTTCCCTCCGATGGAGTCAATTTTTCTTTTATTATTTATCGTCTGTCGCCGACTAGGTCACGTGACCGGCGGCAGAGGAAAGAATGTAATAACTCATTTAGTTTGGTTTTGAGTGTGACACTTGAAATGATTTGTTCTTGGCCGCATAGCGGTAATCAACAATTATTATAATTGTTCTTGATAAAACTAATCTCGGCCCTATGATGGAGAAATTTATATTATATGTCAAATTCGTGTTTTTAATAATGCAAATAATGTACACTGCTCAAAAAAAAAAAAAAAAAAAAAAAAAAAAAAAAAAAAAAAAAAAAAAGGTGGGAACATTTCGATATCTCCCGTTCGCATATTTCATAAGTGCACATCAGCGTAGCCACTGAGGGAGGGGTTTCGAAAATGGACCAATGAGCTTCTATTGCTCTTGGTGACGCTAAATCTTCATGCATGTGAGCGTATGTTGTTTACGTTTTAATTTGTATTTGTTTCGGAGTTACAAATATACGACGTAATAGTACAAAATCTTGTAGTGCTTTCGTTTTATGAGTTTAATTAATCGCTGACATTTCACTTTCGCGATTTTTATCACGCATTAATATTTGGATTGATGTTCACGGCATATTATCGCTCTCGAAAAAATGACTCGAGCTACAATTAGCCTCGAATATTATGCATTTACTAACACCTGTGGATTAAGAGAATTCAAGTGGATAGTTTTATTTTAATTGAGCTGAGAAAGGTTAGAAGTGTTACAATGAATCTAATGTTTTCTTATTTCAATACTTGCATTCTTTTGATTTTTAAAGTGTAAGATTCAAAATACATATTGCGTATGATCTTATTATATCCACTGTTAACATTAAAAGTTATATGTGAATAAATTTAATATATTCGTTGAGAATTAAAATAAATTCATTCTGTTTGATGAGTATTTCTTGTGCAGACTGTACATTTAAAAATGAGCAGTTATTAAACGTGAAATTTAGCACACTAAATACGAGGGTAAGTTGAAAAATAAGTTTCCCCTATCGACTGTGGTCAGAGTTGTGTATGAAAGTCAAAAAATAGAATGAGACATTAAAGATATGACATACCTTTATTTTTCCACATAGGTACCAAGTACATTGAGACATTTGTCATATCGCTTGATAAGCTTCAAAAATCCCTCCAGGAAAAAATCAGGGCTTTGCATATGGAAAGCGTTGAACGGCTTGTTTCACTTCAGTATTGCTCCAAAGCGCCTTCCCCGGAGATTTTTTTTCTTCAAGCCGGAAACAGATGGAAGTCGCTGGTGCGAGATCAAGACTGTATGGCGGATGGTAGGCGCCCCAACCAGAGTTTGCAATATGGTTTTGCGTTTGCCCGTCGCAGAATGTAGTCTGGCATTGTCATCCAACAGCAGAACGCCAGATGTGAGAAGGCCAGGCCGCTTTTTCCGAATCGCTTCTTTCAATTTCGACAGGGTGTCACAGTAGCGCGTAGCATTGATAGTTCCAACCTCCAAAACGGTCAGCAACAAAACTCCTTCGGCGTCCCAGAAAACTGTGAGGAGCACTTTACCTGCAGAGGGAGTTGTCTTGAACTTCTTTCGGACAGGTGATGACGG